ACTTACTACTCGCAATGGACACGGCCAAAGCGGGTGGTCCCCTATCGGGTGTGAAGGTTTGTACTTCCATGCTATGTGAAAATAAATAAGGTATCGGTAAGTGGGTGGTCCCCTATCGGTTGTGGAGGCTTTCACGCAAATTTGAACATCCCAAGTCCACTTCCTACTACTTTAGTCTTCCGCTTATTTTGTCGGGTACTCATATGTGTTTCATTTATACATTGCTGATGACCCCGAAAAATGCGTTACTGCTATTTTAGTAGGATTTTGCTCTTTTGATGCTCTTTCGCTTCTGAGGGTTGCTATGTCATATTCATGGGGAAAGCCGGGAAAACTGCTAATTGATTTTCACATCGAAATGGCAAAAGGCAAAAGCACCATCCGTTCCAGGAACATATCGAACTAATTAGTTAGTTAGATGGGGTAACGCAAACCAACTTCTACATTAAGGGACGGGCCGAGTTGTGGATGGTTCACACCTCCCATTTCTGGTGCATTATTTAATTATTTGGCTTATCACATTACCCAGTGTAGACACCCGTGTTTTCTTCGTTAAACCTCAAATTATATACCCAACAAACGATGAATTGAAACTCCCCCAGTTATGCTGCAAAGGTCATGAACCGCGGCCACGGTTCCTGGCCCGCACACGCAGGTACGGGACATAAACCCGAGTATGGGATACTATGGGTTGGTCAAACTATGGGATACCAGTACAATCCAGCTAGTATTGATAGTACATCCCAATGTTAGCCCCCAATTACTCACCAAAAAGTTGCTATGTATCCATTACACTCCTATTCATATCCCGTCAAATTCCCATGGTTGATGGTTACTGGTTAAACTATATATTCTGAAATCCCCTTTTTTATGGTTAGTATCCCCAAATCAAATCCCTATGTTTTTAAAAAATGTGAATATCCAACATTACAGTATATCTATCATCCCTATCATCCCAAACAAAATCCTATGAAAATATCCTTAATATCCTGAATATCCCTATTCATGTGCTTAAAACAATCATAAACCATCCACCAAATCACTATAGGTGGTATAAAACCATTCCCAAATGGCTAGTCTATTATTGTTTTAACCACATTAATACCATTAATATCTGGTTATTTGTTACATAGCCATGGAAAATCACCATTTCAAGAACGGTAAACCATCTATTTCAATGGGCCATCTATACCGTGGCTATGTAACAGTCATAACCAGAGGCTAAATCCCATTAAATCCCATGATTTATCACCATAAAACCTACTAAATCATAGTACCCTCTGGTAATTTAACATAGCTATTGAAAATGGCCATTTATAGTGGATTTTCCCATTAAAATGGTGATTTTCCATAGTTACGTTAGTTTACCAGAGGGTCATATCCCTGTTCTCCCTGTTTTTCATGGTTATCCCTGCCCTGGTTTGATTCTGTTCATCGCCTGCTCCGCATCTCCAGCGCGATCCAACTCGATGGCGGTGCGTTCGATCTCCGAAGCCTCAAAAAACGGAGGGATCCGTAGAAGCTATGAGATATACTACCAATATCTATATAATTATGTGATTATATGATTATATATGGTAAATATATATATATATGAGTATATATGGTAAATATATCTATCTATATATATATTAAACTAATATATGTATATCTCATAACTAGATATCATATATATATAACAGGACCATGTATTATAACAGGATCATGTAATAAACATATAACAGGACTATGAAACTAATTATAACAGGGTTATGGAACTAGTTACTAGTTATATAACAGGGAATGGGTATATATCATAACTAGATATAATAAACATATATATATATGGTATTTTTTAGAATTTCTGATCTCTACTAGTTAGTCAGACGTATAACTAGAGATATCATGATAAATGAGAATAGGGGATATATTAGTCAACTATCTTGGAATAGATAGATCCACAAGGTAGGCCTTGTAGCTATGGTTGTTGATTCAGAAACCACATGAATACTATAGGTACCCTCTGGTTATGACTAACAGTTCGCCATGGAAAATCCCTGAACTAAATGGAGGTATCTAGCTGGGAAAATCATCTATTTCTATGGGCCATCTATACCATGGCTATGTTAAATAACCAGAGGGTAGTTCTATTCCCCACAAAGCCCATTTTTTAAGCAAGTTTTGAGTCAACTCCAAATTTTCGGGGGTCTCAGCTTGTAGGGAATGGGATATAGTTGTAGATGATTGGAGATGATGGTTTTTTTTGAATAATAGAGATATGTCAAGATATTTTTTAACTCTGGTCACTACTATTTTTACTCTTTATCTGCCAGGTCAACATGGTGTTATCCATAACAATGTGCTTGTTTTTTGCCTATGACAATTTGGGAAAGCCATGGAAATGGACGGATTCCTGTGGGAAAAATGGTGGAAATCGGCCAGGCATGTTGTGACGATAATATTGGCAGCTGGCTGGTAGAAAATTGCCATCTACAAACTAGAGCTGTGATCTGGTGTGGTTGTTGATCACCAGGTCATTATTCATCAAGTATGCTGCATTTTTTTAATACAGGCACAAGATTCTTCACAATGGTTCAGAATCCAGTTGCTGCTTTAGCATACTTCATGAACCAGTTCTGACCATTCACACGATTTCATGCCGGCCAACCCCAACCAACGACTGGAAATCGTTCCGCGTCACACAGTCATTACCTTTTTCTATATTTTTGGGGCAACAAAACTTCAAGCTTCATCAGATATCAACACATATTGAGGACAAACTATAAATAGTATCGCAATTTATATTTATACCATCTAACATTGCTTATATTTTGGGGGCAACAAACTTGGAGTTGCTCTTGAAACCAAGAAAACAATAACAATATATAATGGATTCCCCCAAGTAGTGACGTAGTGGATTTCCCATTGGGAAAATGAAAAACATCTTCAGCAAATCAAGGTAAATGAATGCTTATGAAAATTGTTGCAATTGGTTGGATGTGCATCCCCGTTAGCAAATGGTTTTTAAGCCCTATATATTATCTGGAGATATTCCAAGTTTAACTGGGATATGTATCCCCCAAACATCCGGACGTGATGCCTCCGCGGCAACTTCGGCAAAGGCGGCACACAAGACCCGTTGGTCCTGGAAGTTGACAGGCACTGAAAAATGGTGCAACGGGACTGGAGTCATACCCAAATAACTGGGATCACCTGCGAATTCGGGGCTTCACCAAATTTATCAACTGGTAAGCATAGTTAAAGAAAATTGCTCATTTATAGATGAGTTACCTATAGTTACCTATATAAAATGGTGCTCTTCAATAGCTATGTTAAATTGCCATGTCGGGTTTTTCGCCAGTTCTGGGACGATCATCGAAGTGGAGATAGAGATTGATCGTCCAAGCTTGGGTTTTTTGGGGATAAAACAAGGTGTAAAGATACCCGGCCTGGTAAACATACAAAAAGCTATTGAAAATGGTGATTTAGTTCGTGGATTTACCCATTGATAGCATGGTGATTTTCCATAGTTTTTTGTAAACGTTCTCCAGAGGGTAAGGTTCGAGAAAGAATACACCAAATCTGGAAAATACAAACGAGAAGGAAGGATATATGCCCAAAGCCTTTCCGAGTTTTGCTCATTGTGGCTGATTATTTCTTTTGGCTCTGTCTGATAATGTGAGATACCCCAATTTCTGGCCGTTATAATGGGAAAGAAGCAATGAAAAAAGCGTGTTGGGTTTTGGGGCGCTTCCCAACCCAACGTGTTCAGTATTCATTGATTGTGGATATAAGATACAATTGTATTACTGTATACATATGTATATATATATATACACATATTCCATGATATGTAATATATATATACTATACTCATTACATCCCTGTTTTGATGATATACATGAAATATATTGATATCCACCATCAAAAGCCCATGTTCAGCCGGCTCCCCCATGCCAATCCTCAGCATCTGCGCCCGAGGTAATCTGCGATGGTCGAGACGGATGCAGTGAAGTTGGACTTCATTGTGGGGGGACCCCAAAACAAAGTTATCATCCTGGCTTTTGTTGGGTAAATGCAGGATGTTTCCTGGTATAATCATGGTTAATATGTTAATAGTGATTAAGAATGGATATTTCATGGATATTTCTTGGTCAATAATCCCATCCTCCTATATCCTCCTACTAAACACCCCCTAGAAAAATATGGTTCAGCAGGGGATTTACCAACAAAAGGGATATAGTTGGGATAATTCTTGGGATAATTCTTGGTGTCGTGGATATAGATTGGGATGATTCATGTGGAATGAAATGTGGATAATAGGATTTAAGCAACAATTATTGGGGGGAGAAATTATGGATGTTTTCATGGGAGTTACTCTCGTCATGAAACGTGGGAAACTTTCATGGCCTAGCCATCGAGGTTTACGGCTACCAGAGGCTACTTTTCTTCATCGATTTCGAACCTCGGAAGTTTCAAGATTGGAGCCATGTTTGATGGCATCTGAACAACTCTGTGGTGATGAGACGAAAAGCATTTGAACCGCACTCTTGAATCAGACTGGTAGACCCAACAATAGACTTCCAATGTTTCATGGTGAATTCCCAGCCATTTCAGGATTTTCAGGACAGAATGGTGATGGCTTATGGCATTCTTCGGGGACAGTTGGGGGCCCACATCCCAGCTTCTGGAGATTACAATTCCCATGGTTATACCATGTTATAGCCAGCAAAATAACCCCCGTTTAGGCCTAAAGCCTCAAGATCCTTAAGCTGGGGTTTGTCTGAAAATATGGGGCACTACCAATTGAACAATGAATCATCATGACTATTATCCCTATTCAATGTCTATATGGCGATATAGGTATATGAGTCAAGTCATTTAAATATGACTTGGGTACCCCAACTATTACAATGTTAATATATATATATATATAGAGATATATCAAATCTATCCGACTATATATGTAGGTAATCATTTAGATTGCCATTTAACTACCCTCTGGTAATTTAACATAGCTATTGAACATGGCCATCAAAATAGTGAGTTTTCCGCATTAAAATGGTGATTTTCCATAGTTTTTTGTATGTTTACCAGATGGTATATTAATGATCTAACCCAAAAAAAAACAAAAAAAACCTCCCAGCTTCTGGGTCAAAAACATCCCCCAGCCGGGCGGCCCCGGGGCTCGGCCTGTGTCACCTGAGGCACGGAAAGGCTGGCGACGGTGCCAAGATCCTTTCGGAGAATGGGAATTCCTAGGTGATTTCACCAAGAATGGAAATGTAAGAATTACCATCTGGTAAATTAACATAGACCCTGGCAGAAAACGGGGTTGGAAGACTAGTTTCCATTAAAAATTGGTGATTTTCAGGGTCCAACTGTTTATTTACCGGATGGTACCTGATTTTTGAAGATTTTTGATAGCTCAGGACTCAGGACTAGTCGGCTAAGGTTACAAGCTTTTCACGATGGTTTCTGGTAGATCTATGGGGGGGCACCCTCCTGGGTAACACATCCTTCGTGTGCCCCATGTTCAAGGCCCCTTACATGAGAATTATATCAGCTGAATTGAGCAACTTTCTTAGTTCTCAGTTGTTGTGATTTTTTCTAACTGTTCATCAGAGATTTTCCAGAAGTTTTGATGATTTATCCATGGCTCCGGCGTTGTTTGATCTCTGACCCTTTGTGATTTTTGGTGCTTTGAAACCGAAAAAGTTCGGTCCTCATTTGCGCCCGAGGTGATCTCGTCGGGACGGATGGGAGGAGAGAAAAACCATATCTTTTACTCTCGTGATACAGGAAACATCTGGATATCATATCTGGTTGGTGGTGCAATAACCATCTTGAAAAATATGCTCGTCAATGGGAAGGATGACATCCCATATATGATGGAAAATAAAAAATGTTCCAAACCACCAACGAGATATGATAGCCTAAACTAACATAGATGTGGAAAATCCATGGTTTTCCCAGGAAAATAGTCTAGAAATTCTTGATTTGCCACATCTATATATATACGAGTTTACCTCTGGGGTAGGTTATGACACTTCATGGTCAAAACATGAAACCCTGTAGGACTGCTGTGGAGTCACTACATGGTAAATAAGTGTAATTATACGTGTATATATAATATTGAACATGGCCATTGATAGTGGATTTACCATGATTTACCCATTAACAGCATGGTGGATCTTTCCATAGTTATGGCTACTATATATATATACGGCTGATTCAACACCCAGACTTGGACTACACGAAATATCGACTTGCGCTACAGCTACAACCATGAACTTCGGCCATAAAAGCCATGGATCTTGACAGTTGACATTAGATGTGCATCGCAGCTGTGGGGATGCATGGTACAACATCGATCAACGTGGTACAATCCAAAGTTCTATGGCATATACCCCAGCACTAGCCTCTGATAAACTAACATAGCTATTGAAAATGGTCGTTTAGTTCGTTGATTTACCCATGACAAGTGGTGATGTTCCATAGTAGTTTTTGGTATGTTTACCAAAGGGTAGCAATATGTGTGGCTTACAAACTACTTGGGCGCCTGCGTCACACTGTCCGGCGGCGGTTCGCGTTCAAACATGCCCGGCAGATGCAGTTTGGAAAAGTGTGCTGTGCAATGAACCCTTGACTGTAGCCCAAGGTAAGACTTGCATGATGTTCCAGAAATATCCATGCTGAGTGATAAAAACATCTACAGATCAGTGGATGATTCAGAATCATTATAATTGTAATCGTAATATACGATATCATACTACAATATACTACATATACAACAAAAAAAAAAACTGATCATGTCTATACAAGCCATCTTCATATTATTGGGTCAAGTCTTGTTGCAATGTTTCAGCATGTGCCGTGGCCGCATGCCGTGGCAACCTGGAGGTCCCGGGACAAAAAAAACTCCATAGATGAATCAACACCTTTAAAAAATCAGAGAAAAGCTATGAAATTCTGTGAAATTGTGTGATTTTTTGTTTTCTGAGGCTTCTGTTGACTTCCATCAGGTAAACTTGAGCAAAAGCTTTCGAGGCGTTTTCGTGAGTCTCAGATCATCTTCAGCTGAGCAAAACAAAACTTGGAACAGCGATTCCATCATTTCACCATATCCAGGATAGGCACTATAAATATATATATATTCCATTTGTTCGCCATATCCATCATAGGTTTCCTATCCATGTTGAAAAAGAACCCAACCCTTAGAACACCCGCTGGCGGATCCAGCAATCCAGCATTCGTTTGATGGCTGGGAGTTTCGGGTGTGCTTCAAGGGATCAACTCCCATGGTTCGAAACAGAAATTCATTCCTGCGAAGTTTTCATGACAATCCTATGAAAAAAGTCCGCAAAAATCTACGAATGGCTGATTTTAGAAAAGGGGTAGTTGGGGCTGAAAAGTGATTTTTATAGATCTCAGTGTTGATCTCTGGCGTGTCCACTAGCGAAACAACAGAGTCAACATGAATCCAGGGTTGATTCACCATTTCTAGTATGCCATTAAACATATAGTAAACCTCAAAAAGATTGAACAGTAAAATACCCTACCTACAATCTACCTATTATATAAAATAGTGGTAAATGTGATGTTCAACTATGGACAAAAACTGTATATCTACGGCAGTAGTTCAGTGGTAAATAACCACACAATAGTGTAAAATAGGGTGGTAAATTACCTGCCCTTTAATGGGGGTTTTATTTGAATGGGGGATCCCCCCAAGTCACCATGTGTTACAATACTAGACTGGTCTAACTTTAAATGATTTGGGGTACTCCCATTTCAGGAACCTCCAACTCAACATAGCAGCTGAAAATTAGTTTTTTTAGAGGAGAGAGTAAGTAGTCTTCCAACCCCTTTCCTTGCAGGGTCTATGTTAGTTGGGTGGATGGTAATGAAATTGACATCATTAGGGAAAGTATATATATATATAACTCAAACATACTCAAACTGTGTTGTATCTTGTAGGTTGACGCAACATGTTACTGTCCTGTTTTTACAGCATTCTATTACCCACCAAATTTTCAACCTTTCCATCCCGCCTTCAAAGCTTTCGCGTCCACTTGTGGTGACTTGCCGAAACCCAGCTGTCCAAAGACCTCAAATGATGGCCTTTTTGGTGAAAAAACGTATGGGAAAATGATTAAAAAACCATGATATCTTGGGAAAGATGTGAAAGTCACAGCTTAGTTAGTTTGTTAGTTAGTTAGATAGTTAGTTAGTTAGTTAATCTACTTATTTAATTAGTTAATTTACTTGATTAACTTTGTTAATTGGTGAACTGGTGATCTGTGGATTCTTATCATCCCATTGCTTGCTGCGTTACGACCAGCCGGAACGTAACAAACTGGGATGACCCACGAATAAAAAGCTAGTGAGCCGACGAACATAAAAAGCTCGTTAACTTGGGTTTATATAGTTACTATGGCTTGTAAAGTTTCTAAAGCAACCTAGGACTAGGGGTGGCCTCCTTCCTTTAGTATCAGAAATTTGCCACAAAACCATCCCAACAACCAAGGGTCTCCAATATTCAAACCTGGTCATGGGGAATCTTTTATTGTACTTATCCCAAAAAATGATCCAGAATCATTCCACTCTTCTCCGATATACCCTCTGGTAAACGAACGTAACTATGGAAAATCACCATTTTGAATGGGTAAATCCACTATAAATGGCCATTTTCAATAGCTATGTTAGTTTACCAGAGGGTAAATTCATATTCTCCTATCCATATCCAGGATAGACACTCTATATATATATATATGTATTCATATATTATCATAGATTCTCCTATTGATATCCATATTAATATCCTATTCATATTCTCCTGTCATATATCTGGGTAAATTATAATATTTCGCTAATCCGAATAGTTCGGCCATTTGGGGATGGTTTCCCTAAAATAAACCATGATTCCAGGGTTCTGGAGAACAGTGAGGTCGTTATAATTTACCCGGATATATAATATGGTTGATTGTTGATTATTGGTGGCTATATATTGTTCCATTATACTACCATTATCCCATAGTATGGTTGGTTTACACTTTCTGAGAAGGTACTATATATAACCCTCAATCAGAATATACATACCTATGATATGCTATATAATAACCCTCCTATTGATATCCATATAATTTACCCAGATCGTATCGTACCCAAAACCCCTTGGCACTGGGTGGATCCCACAGACCGAACCCGAAACCAACCCCGCCTGCGAGAGGGCAGAGCCGCCAAGCACCGGCCTTTGCGGACGAAAAAAAGTGGGGCCCCGTTGACGAAAGCGGAAGTTGGGGGCCACATAACTCTAGTAACCATGGTTTGTGGTATTGAAAAAACTGTGGTAACTCTGGTATTCATGGGACTCTTAAAGCAACTTAGAATTGCAGAGGGCCATATTGGAATGTAAGATATGGGTATGGATCAAAGCCCTGTACCGTGCACCAAAATATCTGGAGCTAAGGGTTGACCCTCCAAAGACGTGTCACAATTGCTTTTGATCCATAGCCCATGGGAATGAATGGCATTTATTTAATGGGCTGTTATAAAAAAAAACGGCTTCAGGGGGCACCTTATTTAATGCTGTCTGGAAATGGGTTGATTTTTCCCGGTTTTTTCTGGCCAGTTCTTTTGCGAAAATCCATGGGTTTTCCCCTCTGGATGCTAGCAACGTGATCCATCCTGAAAAAGAGATGCTATGAGATCCGACAAAATCATACAAAATCACCATTGGAATTGGGAACCTGTTGGGATCCGACAAAATAAAAAAAATACTGTTCCGACAACTTCAAAGATTCACAAAAAGTGAAGGAATTCGGCCTTTCTGAATTCCTTTGAAAACATGGCTAACGAATCATCGAACTCCAAAGTGCGACAAGCAGGCTTCGATTCTTCGATCATCCGTCCATATCCATCCTGTTGGTACCAACCGGTACATTCCCTCCGAAGGCATCAAGAAGCCCACAGGTTTTTGCAGGTTTCACTGGATTGGTTTAAGGGAAAATCTGAACCGGAAACCTATGGGTTTTTACCATCAAATTGGTTGGGCTTTCCGGTTAAAATTTTCCCATCATCCAATTCTATGAATGTTTCAATTCTGTGTATGTCGCTAAGATCACTGGTGCTGAAAGCGAAAGTGTTGAACCTATTGGAACCTCCGAACCTGGAAAGTCTGCCTCAGGTGGATGGTCCGGTACAAGGTGACTGTAAAAAACGCGGCCAGCCATACAGAATTGAATTGGCTAGATGTTGATGATGTTGATGATGTTGACAGAATGGTTTTGACATCTAACCATCCAATTCTGTCAGCAAATGTTCAACACAAGCTTACCATTGGTCTGTCTGACCGTCTGTCTTCAAGAGGGTTCGATGTATTTCCTTCATGAACACAACCTTTTGCAGGGGGTTACCCTCTGGTTATTTAACATAGCCATGGAAAATGGCCCATTTATAGATGGTTTACCTATTAAAAAATGTGAATTTCCATGGCTATGTTAAATAACCAGATGGTAACTGAAATTCCTGTGGGTAGTAGTTAATTACCTTCCTAGTTTAGCAAACTACCTCTTCTTTGAAGGCCTTAACCTTTCCTCCATGATCATACCACCTTTTCCAATGATGTGAAACAACCCTTAAGCGGTTGCAAAGCCAAGAAAATGTAGCTCCAACTAGCTCCCTATAGTTTTGTTGTTAAAATTCACCCAGATTATTCCCATTGGATCTCTAGAAATATCCTCATTGTACCACCACCACTGTTCTTGGTGAAAAATCACCATTTTTTGCTCCGGAAATTCGCTCGTGAAATCCCCATGGTTTTCTGAGGATTTCATCCTCCAAACCACATTTCTGCGCCTCAGATGGTCCGGCTTTGGATTTCGCCAGGTCACGGTCCAGCGCCCAGGTCCACGAAGAGCAGGACGCCGTCGCCGTGGGTCTTCAGATCTGGCGTGGCCTGACGATGGCGACGGGAAAAATGGTAGGTTGATCCTCTGGTAATCTAACATGGGGTACTTAATGGGATTTTATGGGAGTTTATGGTGACCTAATGGGATTTAATGGGATCTAATGGATATTTTCCCACTGGTATTTCAACATAACGAACTGGAAAATCACCATGTTATAGCTGGGTAAATCAGCTATTTCGACTGGGTCATGTTCAATAGCTATGTAACAAATTACCAAAGGTCTCAGTTTTACAACTTCAGTCCAATGTTCTGATAACTACCTTGGATCTAACTTTTTTAGGCTTTATGTTGGAAAAAAACAGTAGGGAAAACGTGGGATTGTAGGTCGGTTTTATGTCGGTTTTCCCTTATGTCAGCAATCCTAGATTGGCGTTTCAGGGAAAACAGACATAGAAGACCATAAAAATGCATAAAAGCAGGGAAGTAATTAGCAAACAAAAATCAAACAAAAGCTGTTTTCTTTTTGAACTGTCCCTTCGATTCTACAGAGATCGTGGTCCCTGCATGCCCCTGCTTTTTTTACGGATGTGCCACCTGAGAGAGTAAGAAAACTGGCTAGCAAGGGGTGCCTAAGTGATTTGATTGGAGGAGTTGTGTAGCGTCTCCACTTGACGTCTTCAGTCTGTCTGATTGTTCTACTGAAAGCAGGGATGAAGAGGTAACTTTACCAGCTGAAATCAGCTGAAATATGGGCATGAACTTGAAGCAAAGTTCCGGAGTCGAGAAACAACATCTGCTATGTTCACCCAGCTTCATATTTTGAAACCATCCTGGTGCCTTCCCCGTTGGGCACAGCCACCTATTCCCTCTATCTTTTGAGAAACATCTTTTTGGGTTGGCCAATTTCTTACTACTATTGGCTGTGAATGCCAGGTTTGGTCAGAGCCGCATTGATTCTCAAGAATTCTCATTTTCACTGTTAAATCCCAAGCTTGGTCAACACCACATGTTTGTTGGCCAAACCCGATTCTGTTAGTCAATCATTGTTGTTTTAGGCTGTTTTACCCGGATTTTACCCTCTGGTAATCTAACATAGCTGCTATAGCTATGGGGAAAAACGCAATCTTTAATAAGTAAATCATCTACAACTTTGGTCATTTTCCATAAATTCACCATGTTCGACAATTTTCCCAGCAACCACTTCGCATCGCGCCTTGATGCGGACGTCTGGCACAGGTGCCTGGGGCTTGTTATATGATTTAAGCCAGTCATCGACGGGAAAGACTTCATGGGATGTGCATCCCATCGCAAGTGGTTGAAAAAACCTACATTTTACCCACCTACTCTGAGGTCATGACCAAAATTAGTTCCTGGGATGCACGCCTAAGGCCTCGTGGTTTGGGCGTGTACCCTGAGACTTCCATTAAAAAGAGTGTAAATATATATATATATATTATATATTATATATTATATATATTATATATATTATATATATATTATATATATTATATATATTATATATATATTATATATATATATTATATTATATATATAATATATATATATATATCATGGGACCGACCTAGACTCTGTCTCAATATGGGAAGTATCCCAAATAGCAATGTTAAGCCAGCATATATCAAGCTGGGCTTTGGGGCTTCCCAACTTTTGACTCCAAGATGCGTAGACGGTGAGCACGAACTGCCCCGGACTCTTGGCCGTTTCGACCTGGCGAAAATCCAATGGATGTCTACGGATTTCCAAAGTTTCAATAGCTGTAATGGTTGCATGCTACTATCCATTTCAACAAGCAACCCTGTAAGAATAACCACTTCTAACAAACGTTGACCATTTACATTTATTTACATCATAGTTTAAGTATAATACAGTAAAATGGCAGTGTGTCAAAACCTTGACCCCTTCTGTTCACATCAAAATCGCTGGGTTAACATGGATGTTCATTCCCCTAAAAATGGTATTTTTATTGGTATTGATCCATAGCCAAATGAGCTTTAAAACTATCCGTCTCGCCCTTCCCTTCCGAAACGCAACTTCCCGGCCGGTCGCCTGTCCATTGCCCAGTGGCACCCGAGCTGCCATGGACAGTGAATCCTGGGCGTCGCCCCAAAAGTGGGATGGCTTTAGAATAGGGTTTAATATGGTGTTTAATTAACATGTACATAGAAGATCATAGAACAAATGTACAAGATTATCCAATATATATACATATCCATCCATATTATAAGAGGTTATAGAAGCCAAACATACAATGTGAGGCCCCCAAGATAGCTAAGTTGGTGCACATAACTCCAATGTCACTATGGTTTATGGTACTTATAACGAACTAGTTACTGGGGCGAATCTAAACCAACTTAGAACTGGGGGGCCTCACATTGTATGGTGTTTAATTATCCTGAAGTAGATAGAGCCTGGGATTTTCAAAGATATTCCCATTTTAGTGAGGGTTGTTTTTTTTGAATTTCTACATTCTATCTACTCCAGGATGGCTGCATGATATATAGTGTGTAACATTAATTCACAAATGGGATGGTATCCCATTGCTGGGATGTGTTAGATTCTTGTAATGTGGTAAACGCATTGCAATAAACCTCCCATTTCGGGGGAGCCATGCCAAGAATTTCTGGATGAGGGGTAGGATGCTATCGTGCCAACAATAACTATGTGTTATGCCAATAATTTCTGTAACACATCTAACTGTGCCAACAATTTGAGGATAGTTCAGTTTTGTTAAAGCACCTATCGTGCCAGGAAAACCTATCCGTCCTTCCCGCCGTCGATGGCAATGCCCAACTCCACCATGATGTTGCTGAGCGCCTGGACGGACGCATCACGGGTAGAAGGGCACAACTCGCCGGCACAAGAATTTTGATGTTGTAAACCGAATGCTATAATAAGCCTCCGAGGGTTTATACCACCCATGTCTGGTTTGGGGATGATAGGCTGTTTATTTAAACAAATCATTAAGTTAGGTGGATTAATTGGGGGAAGTCCCAAATTAAATGGTGCCACCCCCGATTTTTTCACAGCCCAGCGGGCCTCCCATCCGGGGCAAGACTTTGTCTCATTGTCTCAACATCTGGACTGTGAACAAAAGGCACTGATGATAAGAGGTGGATAAGAGTTGGTTTGGTATACCATCTATCATCATTTACCTGTTGTTAAAGGTTTTTTTTCAAACCCCTCTATTAATCAACCAACCAATGGGAATTTGGGACATCTATGGTGATCCCCCTCTTGATCCCCCTCTTGGATTCCTGGTCATCTATGTTGTAATCCTCAACGCATGGCTGTCCATCCCGACACGAGAACGTTGCTGCTTCTCGTCAGCACTGAAGGTGAACCTCCCACTATGTCTCATTATTCCATCAAATGGTTGGTATTGTATATGGTATCATGTTCTATATGTGGTACCCCCTTTTTTGGTGGTTAAATCTATGACGTACGAAACAAAACAATCCAGGTATCGTTTCTTCCGATGTCGTGTTTTACGTCGTTTCGTCCTCGTCTTCCGACCTCTGCAATGTCGTACATCTTGGGGCCTTCCCCCGGCAATTTGGCAGCCCACATCCAATTGCCCGAGGCCTGCAAGATCAGAAGTCAATGTTAATGAATTGAAATATCAATGGGATAGAACTGGCATCGATACATGATACATTTTGACTATCTGTGACGATTGATGAAATTTGATAAAAACAATCAATCATCACAAACGTTTGTGGATTGATATGACTTAATCAGATGAAGTGACACAAATCGTCACAGTATTTCCTATCTTCCATTTATCTTTTCCATGTCCCCGAAAATCCCAAAGAAATTCCTCCAGCGCTAAGTCGCCTTGATGGAATCCAGTGTTGGGATTCGGATCCACGCCAAGTTGGTCAGCGCCTAGTGGTGGCCATTGGCGGATGACGCCCGGACGGGTCCGGATGGTGGCTGGAAAAAAAAAACATCGTACCAAGGTGATAGCTATGAAAACTTATGAGGCTTTAGGGAAATTCCATGAATACTTATTCGGAATACTAATACTAACTATGAAAAATGGGGATTTAACATGGGATATCTAGTTAACTTAGTTCGTAAGTGGACTAGAATCCAGATTATATCTAGTTAACTTAGTATAGGTAGGGTTAATCCATTAATGACTAGGGTGAAGTGTGAAGTAATCTAGTTACCTTTGTGGGATGTGCCACCAATTACCTGTGCGATTCATCAAATTTGGCATGTGAAAAACCCAATTTCACAACCCCAAAAAAAATCTATTGACAATCATTGTCATACGTATACACATACGACGTATTCATATGTATTCATATGGTATCCTATTTTCACACAAACCCATATGAGTTTGTCTGAAAATATGGTGCCCCAAATTCCAGTGACAAAAAACATCGTTTTCCCGAAGAAATAACGCCATTTGGAGGTGTGATTATCTCATTTTCAGACACATCCAGTAGGTTATACTATGAATCCCGCATCAAACCCTATTAAATCCCCATTGACACCCCAGTCTCCCACTATCTTTACCATGGTAAAAACCCTGTATTTTGATGATAAAACCATCATGTTCCCATCCGAACCTCTGGATGGAACTACTGATGTTTTCCATGTTTCATCCCATGAAGTCATCATGGAGGCTAACAGGTTTTTTTTTGGGCAACTAAACCCAATAAATCCCACAGATTTGGGGTATAGATCATACCATATATATATATATATTATATATATATACACAAAACCCTATAAAAATCCCATCAAGTCACCAGCAAGGTCAATGCTTTCAGACCAACTCAGCCGGCCTCAGCCACTGCCAGCCGCGCCATCGAGATGCAACTCTCAGGGTCACCTGAACAGGATGATATCATCATAGATCAGGATGAATCATCAACCAATCAACCATTGCAAGCATATTATGAAAATAAAGTTCATCTGGAATTTCTAGCAGAACGGGGCATTTCCCTCTGAAAAATTCAAGGATATATGATCTATACTATACTCAAAATCTGTAGGATTCATTGGGTTTAGTTGCCTATCAAACCTGTTAGCCTCCGGTAATCAAACGTGGACATGGAAAATTCACGAGTATAAAATGATCATTTGCCCTATGAAAAATCAGATTTCACCAAAGAAGGAACCACCGAAACGTTGGGTAAGTTGGCTTACAACCAGGCTAACTCAGGTCCTTTCTGGAGGTATCTCCAAAAAAAAATGTGAACATAAAACCCCCATAGCGGGCGCCTTGCAAGGGTTTTTTATACCACCAAAAAAAACAACAGAATGTCACCAAAGATGAGGAAACATCAGGTTTTACGAACTTGAGAAAAATGACAATGAAAAAGTCATCAATGAAAGATGGAGACGTCACCAAGAAGATCACCGAAAATAGGAGAGGTCAACGGTTGGTCATGTGGACGCTGCAACCAGGCTGGACAAAATCAGCAGCAAGAACCGGAGACACGGCCAACAAGCAGGTAAACAGCAGTCATGTCTTAAACATCTGATTCTCTATCAAACACAAGAATGATATTTAACAGCCGCATTTGACTCCGTTGAGTCCAGTGTTGTTCCACCATGTTTCCAAAGCTGCCCGAAGGAATTCAGCAGTGTCTTCGGACCCCCTTGAGAAACCACCAAAAAATAATAAATTGAACCACCAACCTATTGAAAATGGGATCAAACGACCCATCCATTTTCGGAATAGCTATTTGGCTTTGAAAATAAGAGACCTCCAAATTCCAGTGGGCTTTAATCATTTTCCCTCTTGTATATCTGATTTTCAGACAAGCCCATTTTCAGAAAGCACCAGAACCAGCTTCCATGGCGCCTGGCAAGCCCTTCAGCGGCTGCTCTCCAATGGCCGTCGCACCGCCCGACATCGCCCCGGACATACTCAGAGGGCTCTGGGCGATGCATGCGAAATCCGCCAGGGGCGTCTGCAATGGTCCCACACCTGAGTGATATGGGATCACACCCTCCGGTGTGTCTTTGGATTTCATAGGATTTCATAGGATTTCATAGGATTTCATAGGATTTCATAGGATTTCACAGGATTTCATAGGATTTCATAGGATTTCATAGGGGAAAGTCATGAAGCGAAATGGGATGAATTGGTGATTTTTCAGCATGACAAATTGGGATTCAACATGAATTAACCAGCAAAAGGGTATGTAATGGGGATATGTATGTAATGGGGGTATGTAATGGGGGTATGTAATGGGGGTATGTAATGGGGATATGTAATGGGGGTATGTAATGGGGGTATGTAATGGGGGTATGTAATGGGGGTATGTAATGGGGGTATGTAATGGGGGTATGTAATGGGTATGATGGGTAATCAAACATGACTAGCTGGGAAATCCACCACAATTGGGCATTCAAGTGGGAAAAGAATCTATAAAGGAGGATTTTCCAGCTAACCACGTTTCATTGCCACAGGGTCACAGAAATTGACACGGGAGACATGACCCGCCGCAACCTATTTGGGGGCGGGGGTACTACCGAAGTTTCGTAGGATTTCACCCTTCTGACCATCATTGATCCTCCAGTAATTCAAGGCAAACCCGCCAGAAATGTAAAATATATGTGGCTCTAGGAAAACCATGGGCTTTCCATATCGTTTTCTAAAAACTCACCGTCAATTACCTCTTGTCAAGAATTACCGGGAGCCATCACCACAGCATACGGATGATCTGTATACATATATTGTGTTTTCCTCAGCTAAACCTGTCACTCTTGTGGATGTGCTTGGAAACATTCTTGCTGACAATGAGTTGTCTTGTGGAACGAATGACCATCGGGTTATCACATCCGATAGGACATGTGGCTCAGGGAGGCCTGATAGCTGGGGGCTTTTGTATGCCCAGTGGACTAGGGATTGTTGGTGCGGCCGCCATAGAAAGGACGTTGTGCTGCTCAGGAGGGCAGAACCTTTTTCAGGTGTTTTGGGATCAGGAGGTCCATTTCTTTCTGGGTAAGCTCGGGAGTCCGTTACCATTGTGGCATAGTCTGCATTGGTAGCGGAGCTTCCGCAGCCGGCCTAGAGAGAAATCTTCCTCCGCCGGAAGCTGCGGATCCAGGATGTCTGGTGAAGGGACAGCTGATGGTGGATCAACTACAGCAGGTTCAACAGGGACTTCGTCACTGTCGCATTTGCCGTGGTCAATGATACCGGCTTTTAAGCCGGGGGAGACAGAGATCAATGAATATACCAAGAAGTTAGAGTTCTTGGCCGGATTGTGGCCACCCGAACACCTGTCGCACCTCGCGGCTCGTGCAGCAATGATGTGTGAAGGGAGCGCTTTCAAGCGTGTCATGAGAATCGAACCGAGCAAGTTGAAGGTGAACACGACCGATGGAGTCAAATTGCTGGTCACCACCTTAGGTGGAATCTGGGGCAAGAGCAATTTAGAGGAAAAGTTCGAACGCTTTGAGAGAGCGATCTACACCACAGTGCAGCGACCTGATGAGGCCCATGAGAGCTACCTTGCGAGGCATGACTTCCACTTCGAGGAACTGCTAGCTATGGGCGTGGGCATACCTGAAGTCAGAGCGTATGTCTTGCTTCGCAACTCAGGCCTCGGGTCGGAAGACAAAAAGAAAATGATTGTTGATGCTCAAGGGAACTTAGAGTACCAGAAAATCGTTTCAGCACTCAAATTACTGGGATCCAAGTTTTTCCATGAGGTTCAAGCAGGATCGAAGATTCCCCATAGAACCAAGACATATGATGTCAATGCAGTTCTGGATGATGAACCACAATGGGGTTACCAAGATGAAGATTTTGCGTATGTTGGAGAATCCTGGGAAGAAAACGAAATCCCGTACGATGAGGGAGACCCAGATGCCCTCATTTGCATGCAGTTCGAGGATAGCTTGGTTGAGGCCCTCCAAGGGGATTCAGAGTTGGCGTGTTGCTACAACACGTACTTGGATGCTCGTAAGAGGTTAGCCGATCGTAGCAAGAACCGGGGTTTTTGGGGTAATTCTAAGGGATATCCCTCCAACCATAAGGGTAAGAACAAGGGAAAAGATAAGAGTCAGCCACGCTTTCGCAAGCCGCTGGCCCAGCGGATCCTGGAGAGTGAGTGCCGCAGATGTGGACAGAGGGGACATTGGAAAGCGGAATGTCCGCTTAACCGCCCAACCAATGCCCCATCCAATCAGCCGAACAAAGACAATAGTGCGTTCACTGGAATGATCTCCATCGTGGACGAGGACAATGAAGATATGATCATGGTCCCTGACCCTGCCGATGACCCTTGCCAGAATTGCCAGAGTTGCCACCAGGGAACTCCCGAGAATCAACATATCCAACATGACAAACATGAAATAACCCAGTCCTGTGTTTTCACAGCCATGCCCATGAACACAAGTGCCATGTCGAGATTTATCCAATCAGTCAAACAACGCCTGAGCCCCCAGCCCAGGACCAACCCTGAGCCGCCTCAGAACTTGATCCAACCGAGATCAAATGATTGTGCGTTTTTTGTGAGTCATGGACCATTTGGCATTGTCGACCTAGGAGCCAGCCAGACCATAATAGGAGACCACCAAGTACCGGAGTTGCTTGCTCATTTGCCAAAAGACATCCGTGCCAAAGTCCGTGAAGTGCCATGCAAGACGATTTTTCGTTTCGGCAACAGCAGTACAGTCACGTGCAGCCGAGCCATGTTGGTCCCCTTGGCCCAATGGAATGTCAAGATATGCATTGTGAACACTAAGACTCCATTCCTCATCTCTAACAATGTGTTTCGCACTCTAGGGGCCCAAATAGATACTGCTTTGGATCACGTGATTTTTTCCAAACTTGGGATCAAGTTACCTCTGAGCCTCTCTGAAAAGAAGTTGTATCTGTTGGATTTCTGTGAGTTGGTGCGTTTGGGAAACAGTAACATGCCTAGCAAGGTCGAGGTCGTCAATCCAAATGAAATCAAGCCGATCATGTCCAGCGTTGAAGAAGATCAAACTGTGTACAGATCACCAGTTTCCAAACCACAGCCTGTACAGTCAAGCCACCGTCCGTGTGAAAAGCAAGAACCCGAGACCGGTAGTTTCCAGACTGTCTCTGATGGCCACCTCGACTCTCTCCGATCGTTTTCAAGCCGTGACACAGGTGAAGAAATCCGAGGAGTTCAGATCGATGTCCTTTGCCCAACTGGCAGAGATGAGAATCTCGTTCGGAGAGTCCAAGTTGAACGAGAAGTTCATAGCAGTGGTGGAGCAGGATCCAAAGTACGTCCAATGGTTCACGAAGAAGTATGCCGACAGCAAGAAGCCGTCGCACCAGGCATTCCTGTACTTCATCGAGATCTATGTGGAAAGGATGGAACTGGAGAAGGGGATCGAAGAATCCCAGGTGCCCAAATCCACTGCCCAACCGATGCTGAGCAGCAAGTCCAAAGCAGCCCCAAGGAAAGCGATCGATCTGGAGAGCCAAGGAAGCTGGTCAGATTCGGAGCCGAGCAAACCATGGAGCGTTGTCCAAGAGGAGAACCAGATCATCCACGAGGAACTGAGTGTGCAGCGGGACCGAATCACCAGCATGGAATCGTCTCTCAGCCAGATCGCCCAACAACTGCAGAGTCTGATGCAGTTGACGGCCCAGCAGAAGGGGTCGCAGAGTGCCTGGTAAAACCCTGTGATCGTGATCTTAAGACTGAACTATATGATACCATAGGAAGAAACTTGGTAGAAAAAGGTGATACCACAGTTATCGATGCCGCCTACTTTCAGCAAGGATATGAACACAGTAACTTCAAGGGTAACTGGGTTTATGATGAAATGTGGCAATACTTTTCCAAGAAGTTTTCCTATATGACAGCCGATCAAGTTCAGAAGCACTGGAGTAGCAAGAGGCTTCAGGTGTTGGAGGTCTATTGCTCTGATACAAGTCAGATCACCCGTCAAGGCAAACTGCTGGGATTGACAACGGTCCGATTTGGGCTGAAGCATGGAGATCTATCAACGTTTGGAGGAAGGTGTAAGTTGTATGATTTTTTGTGGATCACCCGACCTGAACATATCTGGATGGCCCCAAAGTGTGGTCCCTGGTCGGCATGGAACCGACTGAACATGAACAAGTCAGTGAAGCTGTCAGCCCAAATTGCATCCGACCGGAGAAGGGAAAGCGTTCACATGTCTCTATGTGCTGCAATGTTCCAACTGCAGTCGTGGCGAGGCGAATTCTTTCATGCCCACTTGGAACAACCAGACGGCTCAGACATGATGTGGCAACCAGAAGTCACTGATATAATCACACATGCCCTTCGTGTTTCATGCGATATGTGTTCAGCCGGGAATCTCCGACATCCTAACAGTGGGGAACTTCTTAGGAAACGAACTCAAGTATGGACGACATCTCAGATCATGTGGCGCATGCTCCAACAGTATCAATGCCCAGGTAATCATCCACATGACACGATCGCCGGATCTTGTCGCCCCAGAGGATCAGGGAGAATGTCTGTCACTAAGTACTCTGAAGTGTACACAGCCCTGTTTGGAAAGAGAGTTTGCCGAGCCATCCAATGCAGTTGTCAAGTGCATGAGCGATCCTTCGGCGAACAACCAGTTTTCACCGGAGATCACCAATCTGCTGACATGCCACCGCCAGAGCCGAAGCGCCGGCGCCTGAATGGTAAGTTTCAGCCGGAACAACTATTTGTGCCCGTCAGTGACTCATCCAGCCACTCTAGCAGCTTGCCACAGGACGTTCCAAACCATGGACCTGAGGAACAGTTACCAAGAATCCGACAACTGTTGCAACTGGCCGAACAGTGTGCACCCAGAGTAGGCAAATCTGTTATCCAAGACGGTCCTTTGTTTGAGGGAGTCCAGCAACTGTACCCCGACAAACATATAATAGTACTGGATGTATGCAGAGGTATCAACAGAATGAGGGTTTGTCCAATGGGGGGGAAAGGGTTCGCGCCATTCCGCAGATCTTTCGGCAAGAGAAGGAATGACTTGGAAGCCTTTCAAGATGCTGAGTGGGAAGCCTGGGAGGATTTGTCACACAGACAACAAATTCGAGCCGGCACTCCGTCAAAACTCCTGGTGACAGTCTTCGCCACCAATAAGCGAGGGAGTGATGATCAGACTGACTCTCTGAACAAACGAAGTAGGCTAACCAACGGGGATGTAGTAGATGATGGGGTAATGAATGGTCCCATAGGTGATGAATCCCTTAGTCATAAGCCATCCATCCCGGACGAAGCCAAGGAGAACATCACCTGCAAGACACATGGACCCCTGTTTACTGCCTTGCCCAGAAGCCTTCAGATGCAAGTCAAGAAGATCCATCAGAACCTTGGACACCCCGACAGTAGGACCCTGCAATTAGCCTTGAAGAGACATGGTTGGTCTGATCAAGATGCCCGAGCCTGTAGCGATTTCGTATGCCCGATATGTCTCGAGCAACAGAAGCCGAAGATCGCTAGGCCAGCACAGCTTCGGACCCCTAAAGACTTCAATGATCACGTTTCTTTTGATGCGGCGGAGTGGCAGGACACCCAAGGTCGAAAGCACGGATTTTACCACTTCATCGACTCAGCGACCAATTTTCATGTGGCAATCCCATATCAGCAACAGACTTCAGAAGGGTTAATAAATGCCTTTAACACAGCGTGGATAAGATGGGCAGGACCCCCTAAGTCAATAATGTTCGATAGCGCCACTGAAGCCAACAGTGAAAAGTTTGCCAAGTATCTTCAAGAACAATCTATTTCCAGCTACGTGATTCCGACAGAAGCTCATTGGCAACTGGGAAGAGCCGAACGTCATGGAGCCATCCTTAAGCATATGATCGACAAATTCCACGAAGACCATCCAATAGGTAGCCCTCAAGACTTTGAACAGTGCCTGATCCAACTGTGCAATGCCAAGAATGCCCTGTCTCGACATGAAGGTTTTACGCCAGAGATGTGGGTACTAGGCAAGATGAAACCGCTGCCAGGATGTAACACTAATCCTTACCTCGACAGTGCCAGTTTTCTAGGATTAGAGAACCAGTCTCCCGAAGGTAGTCGCTTTCATGAGATGCTGGCCAAGCGAGAATCTGCTCGGATTGCTTTCATCAAAGCAGACCACAGTAGTGCTATCCGCAAAGCACTACATGCACGTTCCAGACCTGACCGGATAGATTTTGACGTCGGTGACATGATCATGTTTTGGAGAGCAGGTAAAGGTGTTGAAGAAGGAACCTGGCATGGGCCGGCAAAAATATTAATGATCGAAGGTCGAAATCTAGTCTGGGTCAGCCACCTGACTCGCCTTTACCGCTGTGCACCAGAACACCTCAGGAAATTGTCTGCAGATGAAGCCCAAGGGGTCTCAAGAGAAGACCTCCAAACGTTCCGATTGCCAGACAGGAGCGGCACTGGGGTTTTCCAATTCCGTGAATTATCTCAACAAGAGCCACCCCCAAGAACCAGTATCACTGCCAGAAGTTCCAATGCCATTGAATCCGAAACTATAGTGGGTCAAGCAATTTCCCCTGACAATAATACACCTAATGTAAACACACCTACCCCTCCTTTGTCAATAGCCCAACCTGACGATGAGCCATCATGCCCGAATGGAGAACTATCCCATCCAACTACACCCCATGATCCTCAAAAAGATCTTGAAAATGCCATTGAGACTCCAATTCCCGATGATGCAGACGATCTCATCACTATCACCAGAGACAAAGACTACTGGGAAATAAAGGATAACACCTTAGTCCGACACCATGTAATTCCCCGGTTAAAGATGTTCTTTCCAAGTGATGCCTGGTCATGCCCTGTAGATCCAAAATCCATTCAAGACCACCGTAGCACACAGGGCACGTACATCTCCGGGGGATGTTTTCAGAGGGCGGAAAAATGGACTGAAAATGTGCAAGCTCACTTGGCCCAGCCGGAGCCATGGACTGGCACATCAAGCTTCCTGATTCCAGCGGAAGCGGAGGATCCAACATGTTTTGCCGAGACCTCTGAGGAGACACCCAAATTCCAAAGTTGTGAAGCCGAAATATATCTTACCATAGATGATTTCAATAAATGTTTGGGGAAAACGTATGATTTTCAAGAAAACTACCTGGCCTCAGCAGCGAAAAGACAGAAGGTAGAAGTGAAAATCAAGGAACTTAGTGTTGAAGACCAGAAGAAGTTTGCCCAAGCCAAAGAAAAAGAAATGGAATCATGGTTGTCAACTGAAACAGTCCGAAAAATACTTCGAAACAAGGTGCCTGAAGGTCAACTCTTGAGATCACGATGGGTATTGTCTTGGAAGACCCTTGATGAGAAAGAACAAGCGGAAACAGGGGTATCTAGAAAACCAAAGGCCCGATTGGTAATCCTAGGGTACGAAGATCCCCATATAGATAGCTTGCCAAGAGATTCACCAACCCTTGGAAGAGACAGTCGTATGTTGGCTTTACAATGTGTGTCAAGTCATAAATGGCCTATAAGATCTTTCGACATCAGAACCGCATTTCTCAGAGGAAGCAGGCAAGATTCACGGATCCTAGGAGTTGAACCTCCCCCTGAATTAAGATTAAAAATGAAACTGCAAAGTCATGAAACGTGCGAGCTTTTGAAGGGAGCCTATGGCTTGGTGAATGCACCATTACTTTGGTACTGTGAACTTAAGAACGCCCTATTATCTTTGGGGTTTGTAATTTCACCATTTGATCCATGTCTATTTGTACTTCCAAATCTCCAAGCCAAAAAGGATGAATGTCAAATTCACGGGGTACTTGGAATCCACGTAGACGATGGTCTCGGAGGTGGAGATGCCACCTTTTGCCAAGCCATATCCGCTCTGGAGAAGCGATTTCCATTTGGCAGCCAAAGGCAGGGGAATTTCACTTTCACAGGTATACAGGTGAATCAAGAAGTAAATGGTAACATCACCCTAAGCCAAAAAGACTATGTGCAAGATATCCCTTCCATTAACATTCCCAAAGAACGAAGAAAAATCCCAGAAGCCAAAATCACACCACAGGAGCTCCAAGACCTAAGGGGTTTAATTGGAAGCCTTCAATACGCAGCCACCAATACCAGACCAGACATTTCCTGTAGACTTAGTCTTCTTCAAGCCAGAATCACGTGCGCCACAGTTCATGATCTATTACAGGGAAACAAACTCCTCCATGATGCCAAACGTTTTTCCGATACTTCCATCCGAATCCAATCACTAAGACCACATGAAGTACGATTCCTCTCATACTCCGATGCAGCCTTTGCCACGAGAGAAAAGGCCAATTCCCAAAAAGGATGTTTAATCATGGCCACTACGGAAGGTGTAGACCAGGAAAAATCATCCTCAGTAAGTCCCTTAGTCTGGTTCTCCAAGAAAATAAATCGGGTTGTAGCCAGTACCCTTGCGTCAGAAACCTACGCTCTGTCTGGAGCTTTGGACTTACTTAGTTGGACACGCATGCACTGGGCCTGGATTCTCAATCCATCGATTCCTTGGAAAGACACGGAAAATACTTTAAAGTCCTTACCACCTGCATTCGCGGTCGTAGACTGTAAAAGTTTATTCGACTTGTTGCAAAAGACTTCCATTCCCCAGTGTTCTGAGTACCGAACCCTCTTGGAAGCATTAGTGATCAAAGACAGACTGAGAGAAGGAGTCATTGTAAAATGGGTTCATAGTGCAGCTCAGATGGCTGATGCGTTAACTAAAGATATGGATACCACTGTCCTGAGAACTTTCTTGCAACAGGGAAAATGCATACTCCACGATGAAGAAGAAGTATTAAAGCAACGAGCCGACAAACGAGTGCGACAGCAGTGGTACCAGCAGAATAGCATTCCTGAAACCGCATTGCATGCTTTTGCGTTATGCCTGGGTCTCTGATGGAGAGATCACCTGGTGACGAAGTCTCCCAAGTGCTCTTAATCCAACGGTAGAAACATGAAAGACACGGGTTAATTAAAGACTTCTTGAGATGACTCACCTCTTTGTAAATCCAGAGACGTCCAAGAAGATAACCATAAGGAACACCATAATCACTCCTCTGGCAGAACCTCATATCTCCAAGAATTCTTGTTTGAAAAACAGAGAGAATTTTTAGGAGTGTGTTTTCCTCAGCTAAACCTGTCACTCTTGTGGATGTGCTTGGAAACATTCTTGCTGACAATGAGTTGTCTTGTGGAACGAATGACCATCGGGTTATCACATCCGATAGGACATGTGGCTCAGGGAGGCCTGATAGCTGGGGGCTTTTGTATGCCCAGTGGACTAGGGATTGTTGGTGCGGCCGCCATAGAAAGGACGTTGTGCTGCTCAGGAGGGCAGAACCTTTTTCAGGTGTTTTGGGATCAGGAGGTCCATTTCTTTCTGGGTAAGCTCGGGAGTCCGTTACCATTGTGGCATAGTCTGCAATATATATATATTCCCTCCAGAAAGCCAAGACATATATGGGAAATCCATCATCTGTAGGTCGTTCTCCTAAGGAAACCCTTAGAAAACCATGCCTACTGGGTGCCTGGGGCCTTACATGTTGACCAAAAATGTTGACATTTGCAGGGCTGTTGCATGTTGCCTCCATTTGTATGTGTATCTTTATGTGTCTTCATAGCAAAATGACTATCTACAGTATATAAGTAATTCACTAAAAAATGCTTCAATATATAGTATATCTATATATAGAAACATGCACTTCAATACTCCGTCAATACTCCTTCAATACTGCATGTGTATGTATATATATATACATGTATGCGTGTATATCTATCTACATCTGTCCTATGTTTGATGGTATCAAGGCATCTGCATTGCCAAGGGACATTGCTGTTGCGCAATCTGCCCCGTGACGGAACGATCGACCTGCCACCGGGTTTTTTTTGGTCCAAAAACTGAAGTTTTTTTGCAGAAAAAAAACTTCCTGGTGCTAAACGCAGGGAATGAGGGAATGGGATGGTTGTTGATACTTTTTTTGGTTGAGAGTGGGACTTGATTGATTTTTTCGGAGGTAAAAACTACCTGAGTGTGGGATTACTAATCACCATCAACAATCATCCCATTCCCCCATTCCCTACGTTTAGCACCAGTAAGAAAAGCGGGATGTGACCCCTTAACAACTGGGGATTTGGAAAAGGGGTTTGAAAACTACCATGGATCTCAAATGTGACATGGTGATACCTTTCCATTTAAAAACTACCATGGAAAATCGGTTTGGAAGAAGATTTTCTTATGCAAATGGTCGTTTGACATGTCTCATGTGACATCTCGGGATGAGTGGGACTTGATTGAGAAAAAAGGAGGTTGTACTACCTATCTGGGATTGTTAGGATAACTATAAGAGGTATCACCAGGGTTCCAAATAACCCATTATGGAGATAACTAATAACTATTAGGGTTATCCAACTAGCCATTTTTGGGGGCATAACTATTCACCAACCATTTCCAGTTGAGTTAACACAATTCATTGATCGCCACACCAAGCGGAGGACCTGAAACGCGAATGGTAAGCCTACCTCACACCGTAACTTACACGCCATTTGTTGGGTTAATGCATCTGAGGAAAATCGTATGTTGTTAATAACCCATATATATATAATTTCATATATAACATTATACATATATATATGTGTGTTATATATATAGAGGTATAATATGTATATATGTATACCATGTAAAACTGCATAAGTCACAATAGCAATGAACCATCGCCCCAAGGGTGATCTTCCGACGCCCCCAAACATGGCGAATCTTAGATACTCCACTGTTGTTGGTTAGTAAGATTTTCCTTGCGAAGATATGTCTATATATATACATATATATATATATAATATGTATATATGTATGTATCTATGTATATATGTATATGTATATATACATAAACAAATGCAAATGATTAAACCACATTCTTACCATTCACTTGGCTTTACCTAGTTCACTTGTCCCCGTTTTGCTTGGGTAAACACCTTTTTTGCTTGGTTGGGTCGCCTTTTTTGTTCAGCTGGAATCATTGTCTTTTCTGGTTGACTCCCCTTTTCTATCGTGTTTTTCTGGTGAACCACCGTTTTGCTGGTTAAATCCTGTTAAATCACGATTTTGCCTTGTTAAATCACCATTGTTGCTCGTAAAACCACCATTTTTGCAGCTTACTAATCCAGCTTAGCACTAGAAAACCGTGGCTCCCAGGCGGCCGCTTCGCTGGCGAAGTAACGCCAGAAAACGCTGCGGCCTTGTTGGTCAAGAAGCGCTTGGAGCACACCGACAATAAGCGCAAGACACCTGGCGATCCAAGGGCGTCTGCAGATCTGATGTCAACCAACCAACGATTGGTATGCCATGGTCAAAACATATGGACATCGGGAATATAATGATGGGGATGACATTTTTTGGTTTATGGGGATGTGATATATTGTCAACTATTGGTATATGTTTAATGTTTATCGAATAACCATGGAATATATGAATCAATGTTAATAAATCAACTATTGGATATTTAGCCAGCAAGTGGCATACTGAATGACCATGGATACGATCAACATTGATCAATTAATGGCTATTGATTTCTTACAAACCAACTCTTGGTTATTTTCAGATGTCTTGCTGTTACATCCTTGCTTGGTTAAACCATGAATCGATGGGCCCATGGATTAATAGATGTCCTGGTTCGTGGTTGACCTACCCCTCTGAAAAATATGAGTTTGTCAGTTGGGATGATGACATTCCCAATATATGGAAAAATAAAAAATGTTCCAAACCACCAACCAGATGGTGTTTGCCATCGGATTTAAGAATCAACAATAGGCAAGGTTGGTGGTGCAATAACCATCTTGAAAAATATGAGTTCGTCAATTGGGAAGGATTATTCCCCATATATTAGGGAAAATAAAAAATGTTTGAAACCACCAACCAGATAGGCAATGTTGGGATAAACTTTATGGTGATGTTTTATACGATATGTCTCACCAATTTAAGATGTCAAAAACCTATTGGATAATCCTCCAAATCATGATAGGTATGATTGGTCACTATGGGGATTACCATACTGTACTATAACCTTTTGCAAGGAGCTTGAAGATATTTTCCCAGAACCCACAGGCCCTTTTTGTCTCTAAGGTCTCAGAGTCTCAGACCGCTAGGCGACGATTGTCCGATTGGATTTGGCATTACTTGTCGATCCGATTCCGGAAAAAATCCAGGAAGTGTTTTTGCCACTCATTGGCTATACAAAGGGGGCCCCAAAACGATAGAATCGATAGATTAGTTCATTGATGTTTACCCGTTTACCATCGTTTACCCCTTTCCCAGTAGATATCTCCCATCAGAAACACATTTGGCCTGGTTTGAAGGCAACTGACACCTATCGTTTGGGGGGCACACGTTACATCTGTATGCGTATGTACATATATATATATAGAATTATAAAGATACCTTACTTGCGGTACATCATGTTACACTACATTACATTGCATTGGCCGATGTCCTGGAATGGGAAACCGAAAAATTGCCACGGGTCACTGGTACGATTTTCGAGAGTTTTTTCCACCCAAGTTAGGAGTTGACGCGCCTGTCTCCAACGCCACTTGCACCGTAAGAGAAGGTGGAAGATCCTACGTGCGGAACTGGGGAGCCTTCGGTGATCAATAGGGATATATCGCCATACATTTCATGGTGTCTAGTAGGCTTTAATTAGGTTAAAAAAAGGCGATTCAGAGGATTTATCCTGCTCAAACATGGCGCTGGGAAGTCCCCGAACTAAATGAAGTTCAATGGGAAAATCATCTGTAAATTGTGCATGTTGGCCAAGTTTAATGACCGGATGGCCCAGTACCAGCAAAAATGGCCCCCAGGCTAGAAGGGTCTACCCACTACCGCTAATATTCAATACCCCCAACAAGAGACCCCAAAAAATGAATAGATCTAATAGTGAAGCTGTGTTTCTATGGGTGTATTTAGCACCCCATCACACCTTTTTTTGGCGCCTGTGGCGCCTGTCCCCATCCCCTGTCCAGTGCTCTCGGCGTTTGTTTGTAGATGCGTTGCATTGGAAAGACCTTCTGTGGCATCTTTCCCAAGACCTGCCGAAAAGTACGAAGAGGTGCGGGACCCGGGAACCGCCTGTGCGTTTCTCCACAATGGATATTTACTAAAACTGCACTTTTAATGGCTTTTAACCACCGATGATTTGAATTTAACCAACAAAAAATATTCCAAATATGTAGAACATACTAAAAAATGACGATAAACCATTAGATTTTGGGCACCCTATCTCCAACTCCAAAGAAATCCATAAGTGGGTCACAACCCACGGCCCCACTGGGCGCCACTGATCCTGTGGTGCACAAGTGGCAACTGATCCGAGAACTTCATTTTTTTCCCCTCAAAACAGCCTCATTTTGGAGAAACCACCATGATGATGTTTGAGATATATTTGTTTGTTTGTTTCTCTCAAAAAAAACATAGACAAACTATGATTAAACCATATTGTTCCTTCGTTTCGACATCTCAAAAAAAAAACAACTATATCGCCATTAAAAAAAAAAAAACTCCAAAAAACTGGCTGGTTGCTTCTTAAAAGCCTCTTTTTTTATGCCACGTTTTATGCCAGGCCTTCTCCAATGGAAGATCCACCGGTGTGCTTCCATCGCGAGAATCCTTTACGACCACTTGACCATCTCCGGTGATGGTACCTAAGGACTGTCAGCGACCATGACTTCGGGATGGTGTCGAGGGCCATTTAGAAAGCTAGATGGCTTTGGCAATGGAATATATACCCTCTGGTTATGTCAAAATAGCTATTGAAAATGGCCATTTATAGTGAGTTTTCCCATTAAAAATGGTGATTTTCCATAGCTATGTTAAATTACCAGAGGGTACCCTTAATTTTTGTTCCAAGACTTGAAGAGAAAATTCTCGATCTCAAAGAATTTGCATGAAGGGATCGAGCGACCTACAGATGCAGGGGCCATGGCCAGAAGCTCCTGTTATTTCAGATGTTTTTTTCATGCCCAGTAGGCGCCTGCCAGACCCATACATGCCATACATGTCTGACAGACCGTAACGGTGATGAATTGAGTATTCCCCGCTTTTAGACAAACAAAAAAAGGTGGAATATCACCGGTTTTTCTGTGTGTATCTAGCTTCATTGACTAATCCTTCACCAACCGAAAATGTCTACAAGTAGTGATTTGGGGAGGTGGTTTATTCTTGGACCACATAAGTTACCATCTGGTAAACTAACATAGCCATGGAAAATCACCATTTTTAATAGGTAAACCATCTATAAATGGTCCATTTTCCATGGCTATGTTAAATAACCAAATGGTATATACAATTACAGCTATATACAAGCGATATGATCGTCAAGAACACCTCGTCGTCAAGCAGGACCAGGAACTAACCACGTGCATACCATGCTTCAGTCAAACATTCTTTGTTGATAATTGCTAATCATGTTGAATTGGGATTGCAAACACCCACTTCAAAGATCCGACTTCATAACCCTCAAATGATGAATTCAGCCAACCTCTGTTGAGGATGTGTTCAATCTTGTACACTGACTTGCACTGGTGGGCAACTGATCATAACCTTTGCAGATGTGGTCCCAATCTGAAGTTTGAGACTCATGCCGCTGGACTCTTTAACAGGAATCAGCCTCTTTGTTGTTTTATAAACGCTTTGAATTATGGGCATAAACCATAGTTATATAACCTGATTGTAAACCAACTTAGATATCGTTTGGATTCCCTACATGTGTTACACAGAAACGAACCGGTTTCGAGCTGACCTTTATCCAGAAATCCACTTGAGTGCTGGACCCAACACGGCATAGGGGACTTTCTCTCGTTTGCAAATTTGGTCGAACATGGCCTACACGGCATAGGGCTTCAGCGTCCAGAACCGTTGGAGCCAAAGGATTTGTTTGTATTCCGCAAGACAGATAGCTCAATCATGTTCAATCCACTTGAAATCGCCATCACAAATGGTGCCAGCCACTTCTGATTGTTGAAAATCTTCAAAAGTCTGCAAAAAAACAAAAACGGTTGCCATGGGATTTCCAAAAAGGCCCCAAGGCCTCATTTTCTTTGCCCAGAAGAAGGGCATTGTTCTCCTGAAACTCAGCCGTCCATAGCTCCTGAAACGCACCGGGCAAGCGGCGAGGATCTACCCAGGATGGGCGATCTAAGCCACAAAACATGAGGATTTATCCAATAAAACTGGTGTTTTAGCCACAAGAATCGGGGCGTTGCGGGGGATGTAACCCAAAAACTTGTGAATAAACTATATATATATATATCATCAAATTAATCTAGCTGGGTATGGGGTGGTAAGTGAGTAAGTCCCAGAAGTGGGGTTATCTTATACATCTGTCGGGTAAAACTATGGCTAGTAAGCAGTTTCAGCTGTTGCAAAGTGGGACGATGCTGCAGGTATTTGGATAGCCTCCAAGAATCACCAAACCTTGCAGGATCCTGTGAGAGGAAGAGGTTTGGGCGAAGATTTTCTTCGAGGAAAGTAGGATACCGAGAGTTATTGGTATTGGTATTGATGCTTGGAGGTTGGCAATAAATTGCCTAGGACACGCAAGCCTCAGTTTCCGTTCCCGCACGGGCAAAGGCAGATCGCCTTTGGGCCGTCGCACC